TCATTTTTTTAAAAAAAGTCTTATTTTTTCTGATATCGTATTTTTACACTATTTTCAGTTTCTGAATATATCCTTCCTTCATGCTTTTGCCCAAGGATCCCTCTTTGTAACAGAAATTAAGATAGAAAAAAGAAAAAAAAGCATTTTAGTAAAACCAACATTATTGGTTGAGTCTGATAGTATTCGCAATATTCCACACCTATAGTTTCCCATGTCTGTGAAGAAGAGAAGAAGGTAATTTTTTTTTACCTCTTCCCCAAAGCTAAGCTGAGGCATTATAGTGACACAGGAGGCAGCTCAATTAGTTTTTTTTTTCTCATTTACATTATTGTAGTCATTGTGCATATTGTTGTCCAGTCTTGCTTGTTTTACTCTGTTATCAGTTCATGTAAGTCTTCCTATTCTTCTCTGAATTCATCATAATCATTAGTTTTTAGGGCATAAGAGTATTAATCTGTGGAAATGTGTTCTGTATCAACAAAATTACAGATATTCCTTTCCTTTTAAATCTCTTTGTTTGGGACTATTTCTACTTTCTGCTATTCATCCCTTTGGTAAAATTTTCCCAATTAATATTGGACCACTTTCCCTTGAAAATGTTTTGTGAATTCCAAGAAAAAACCAAGCTAAGATTAGAGAAAAGGTAAATCTTTGCCCAAGCAAGCTTGTGCCTTTCCATTTCTGAGTACATATCTTTAGAAAATAACTCAAAGAAATCACTACAGCCATTAAAATTTCATGATTCTGACATGTAATATTCCTTACTTCATATGCCAGAATTTTTTTTTTCTGTAGTAGACCTGCAAATGCCTTGATATAGGGAACTATTAGTGCCAGTGCAGGAGGAGATATTCTCTGTAGCTTGTGGCTGTGGAGAGTTGCCTAGGAAAATGGGAGGATAAGGAATTTTTGCAAGGTCATGAAACTCGTATGTGTAAAAGTGGGATTTGAATCCAGGGCTTCCTGATTCAGAGGTCATTTCTCTATCCTATGATAAATTAACTTTCACGAGAAATATGTATATATATGAATATATGGTATATATCTTGGTATGTATACCAAGAAAAATGTTTTATAGGAAAATGTTTCCCTTCAACCTAAAAAAAACCTTTTTATGGCTGTTTTTCTATTATTATTTTTATCACTAAAAATAATAATTGCTATCATTTATATAGCACTTGCTATGTTCCAGGAATTGTGTTAATAGCCCTACAAATATCTCATTTGATCCTCACAATAACCCCAGGAGGTAGGTACTATTATTATCCCCATTTTACAAATGAGCAAAATGAGGTAAACATGTTAAGTGACATGCCCAAGGTCACAGAGCTAATAAGTATCTGAGGATGAATTTGAACTCAGGTCTTCCTGTCTCTAGACTGAACACTATCCACTATCTAGCTGCATGTTTTCCTTGTCTTTTGTCGTCTCTCTGCTGTTCCCTCAGAGTACTGATCTCTGTGGCTGTAACCAGATTGGTTCTTTGCTCCAGCAATGAACAAATTTTAAAGGCCCCACATTGGTACCCTGGGCATGGGAGGAGTTCAGGGTGAAGGGATGGGTTTGCTAATGCTCCGAGCTCCTTGATGCTAAAGAGATTCAGTTGTCCTCCACCACCATTCTCCTTCCACCCTTACCTGGTTAGTGTTCTAAAGCCCTGGTTGGGATGGGGATAGGTGGGGAGAAAGGAAAGACATGATAAGTGTGCTTAATCTTTAAATCTCCACCATGGATAAGAATGGCACTTGGCAGGGGTGGAAAGGGAATATGGGTTCACCCTTACATTAAGGGATTGGGTATATTGTATTATTATATATAGTACATATTTTATCTATTGGGTAAATTACCCCAATCTGGTACATCTCCCCAGCATTTACAGCCAGTTAATATATCCCCAGTATTATTGCCATCAATTACCTTTGCAAAGGCAATCTTCTGAGAAGTTAAGAGCAAAAACCAAAATACATAAACTTCTGAATCCAGATACCCAACCTCCTTCATGACCTTGGTCCTTGGGGAGAGTGGAATCACACTTAAAATGGTGACTTCCAACATTCCTCAAAACAAGTTTCCTTCTGGGTGTGGGAGGACCGATAGACAAATCACTCCCTTGTTTGGTAGTACAGGTCAGCTTGGTTGGCCAGGCTGATTCACTTCAATTCTTCTTTGGGTGGGTCTCTCCTCAGGGCAGGCTCCTCTTGGGGAGTGGCTGTGGATTTGACTGGGATATTTTGTCATTTTGAAGCTAACAAGGTTGTAATCTATCCCATTCTATTTTGAATACTAAGATTAGGAAAGATTAGATACAATGAAGATATCAGAAATCTAGATACTATCCATTCATAGCTACTTGGTGGTCCAGATAGGGGGAATGAAGCTAGTGAAGCAGCATCTGCAGCTACCTCTAACACAACCTTTTTCTCCATCTGGAGGTCCACATCATTTCTTCCTCCTCACACAAAAGTCATGGGGGAGAGAGAGTTCTATTGGTTTGAGCCTTATGCATACACACTCAGTCCTGACTCAATAGCCAATAAAAGGCTTTCCATCCTCATGCAGTAAACTGATAAGAGGTAGTCAGAGGATACCTGGGCATGCTCTAAAGAGTGGGAAAGGACCCCTCCCAGAAGCCCAGAAGCAAAATCTTCAAACCTCCCTCCATAGGTTAGATTTCAGCGGGCAGAGAATATTGTTTATGCTACAAAGACTGAGCCCTCACTGTCTCATCCTCTATTATACTTGCTTCTGTTTAATTCCCTTTGTGCCAGTTCATATAAGTCTTTTCATGCTTTCTTATATTCGCAATGTTTTATCATTCCATACAGCTCAGTAATATTCCATTATACTCATGTACCACAATTTGTCTAACTCTTTTCAGTTGATGGATGTATATATTTTATTTATAATCCTTGGATGCCAGAAAATAGCCAGAGTTACTTAACAAAAAGACAAGATGTGCACACGTATTTTCCCTTCCCTTTCATTGCAAAACTCCTTGAAGAGCAGCCCCTAACTCTCGACTTTTATTTCCTCTTCTCCCATTCACTTCTCAACCCTTTCTTAAACTCTCTCTCCAACTTTGGTTATGGTGAAACCACTTCCTCTTCCTCTTTCAGTCCTCCCACCTCACTGACCACTCCTCAGTCCCCTTTGCCAGATCTATCTCCTAGGCCCTACTCATGGATATTTACCAAAATCAATCCTCTTTATCCTGCTGTTCTCCATTTCTGAAGTGTTCTCCCTCCTTACCTCAACCTTTTAGAATTTCTCGTTTCTTTTGAGGCCCAGTTCATGTGCTATTTTCTGGAAGCCTTTCCTTTTCTCCTTATTTTGAAACACTCTCTCCTTCCTCCTGAAATAATTATGCATATAGTTATCTATTTGCATGTTTTTTTCCTCCAATAGAATGTAATCTCTTTTACAAGCATTGATCATAAATTTAGGGATGAAAGGGACCTTAGTGATCATCTCCAGGAGAGATGTCCAATTCATATCATATAAAATATCCTACAAAACTCTTTAATTTTGGCAGAACTAGGTTAATTTCTAATTGGGAAATGCTCAACAAAATAAATAAAAATACAATATGGTGTAGATAATGCTCATTTGTGGTTTTCTAAGCCAACATATGGCTATTGGGGGATCTCTTTCTATTTGAGTTCGGGACCCCTTATTTAGTCCAACACTTCCATTTTTACAGTTGAAGAAATTTAGACTTTGCCCAAAGTTAAATAGATAGTCAATGGTAGGGCTAGGATTTGAACCTAGAGTCCTTAGTCTGCCAATCCAGCAACCCTTCATCTTTGTATATTTGATAGACAATGCAATGCTTTGCCCATTTAAAAAAATCAGGCAAAATTTCATGTATGTAGGGAACTTCTGGTGAAGAATTTCTTCTACCAATGTAGATTTATAACTTTTCTACAACTTAAAGCCATAAAGGATTTTCTGGGGCTACTAAGAGGTTGCACAACCTCCCCAGGGTCACATAATCAATATGTGTCAAAGGTCGGGCTTGAACTCAGGTCTTCCTTGACTCCAGAGCTGACTTTCTCTCTACTATATTCCAATGCCTCTTGTATGTATTAGGAGTTTAATAAGTGTTTTTTGGACTAGAAAATATCAGATGACCTTGTGGAGAACTCCTTTCCCCTGACCTTGAGTGTACCTGTCAAGGTTTTTATCCCTACTTCCTACCCACAGACAACTTTCTTGCCTCTTGTCCCAGGTGCAAAAATTACTAATTATGCCTCTGCTATTATACTTTCTTTCATATTCTAAGGAAAATATTGTGGTTTTTTTTTCAAACAAAGACAACTGAAATTTACCAGTGAGGAGATAAAAAGGGAAAGAAATTTTTTTTAATGTTTAAGTTAATGGGGCATTATCATCCCAGATTTTGTGGGACCAGAGGCAGAGAAGATGGGAAATAAATTTCAGAAAAGAAAATTTGTCTTATGTAGTTGAACCCATTTAGTCAAGTCTAATGGAAACATTAATAAAGTAATAATGATAATAATAAACTCAGCAATCCATCAAAATGAGAAAGACATAAGATGTCCTGATAATCTGCTCTTAGCACTGAGGTTGCTCTAATCTGTCAGAATCCTCACTGCTGTTCCAGAGAGAAAATCCTCCCATACACCCAGGGTGACTAACTAGGGAAGAGTTCTTTGCAAGCAGCGTCAGATATCTGAGGATGATTTGCTAAGCTGGGCTGGGCTGGGCTGGGCTCTCTCAGGCAGTACTCCCTTTTCAAGGACTGTGAAGCTTTCCCCTCAGTATCAGGACGTCTGTTGGTCAGTTACCTGGACAATTTAATAACGTGAGGTTCAACTCAGTCAGGATTCAAAATGAAGGAACGATTCAAAGGTATTGGATGTCTCACCCATCGCTTACTTCACATCCCATTGACCTTGGCAGACCTAAGTCAGCAGGCACAGTGAGTACATTGTAAACGACCCCCTAAAAATAATGCAACTCTATTTCTTTCTTCCCAGGTTTGAGATTTCTGAGAGCTCTCAGGCTGATACAGTTTTCAGAAATTCTGCAGTTTCTGAATATCCTTAAAACAAGGTAAGCTGACTCATTGCGATGGATCCGCCTCATTCCAGCACTTGTCATCCAGTTGTAAATATCCAGTTGGTGGTAGTTTATCATCTCCTAGAGCCCTTAATTTTGGTGACCTTACAGGTATACTATCTAGTAAAAAAAAGTTGGAGAATCTGAGATACTGGAAAGGATAGAGATAGTACAACAAGACAGAAAAGTTCAGGATTTGGGGTCTTTTCCTCAATCAGAGCTTTCAGGGTGAAAGACAGAGGAATGTATGCGTTCGAACATGGCTGCAGCTAGTGAATTCTTTTTGTCTATTTTTCTTTTAAAATGTTTTTATTAATGCATTTTTATTTAAAAAATTAGAACCATTTCCCAGCATATCCCCCTTACCTTGATTGAACTCTCCCATGTAACAGAACTGACAAAGACATCAAGTCTGAAAATATAGAGAATCATAGGATCAGATTCAGAGCTGGACAGAACCTTAGAAACCATCTGGTTCATCCCTTTCTTTTTACAGGTGAAGAAATAGAGGTCCAGAGAGGTCAAGAAAATTATTTAAGGTCATACAGGTAGTAAATGTCAGAAGTGAGATTTTTAACCTTGGTCCTTTGACTCTAAGTCCAGTGCTCTCTCCCTTATACTATACTAGCTCCCAGTTACATATGTATTTTTTAAAAAAATATTTATTTGTTGATTGTTGAGGCTGGATTTCCATATAACACTCAGACTGGAAGTAGCCTTCTCTATCACTCAGAAATGGCCACTCACAGGCCAAACCCCAAATGGATCAGCATGGAAGCTTTACCCTGCTCCATTTTTCTGATCTGGGCAGGTGTGGCCCTCCTTAGACATCCTGGTAGTGCACTCTTCCTGAGTGGCTCACCTGATTCACTGCAAATGCCTGATCAGCTTTAGCCCTATGGCAGATCAGAACTCACAAACTCAAGTGATCCAGCAATGTCAGCCTCCCCAGCTAACGGCAATACAGGCATGTAGCTTCCAGTTACATTGGGTACCCATAGTTCCTTGCCTGTCTATTTCTTTTTTGGATAAAAAATACAGTAATAGAAACACCATTTTTAAAAAATGTCTTAATAGTAGACCCAGACTCAGAGCTCCCAAAAGTCTTTTGGACTTCCAAAAAAAGTTGAGTTTTACTACTTTCCATCTTCTTGAGATTATCCATTGCCATTAATCCGAATTCATCTGATGTTTAGTGTCATTATTATTTCGTTATAACAGTTGGTGTATGTACTATTATCTTGGCAGTCACTAGTTTTTCCATCAGTTGTATTATGTACCTTGAGACGGTACACAGAGAATGGCTATGGCCATTTATGTGTTGTTGATGTTGTTTAGTCGTTTTCCGTCATATCCGACTCTTCATGACCCCATTTAGGGTTTTCTTGGCAGAAATACTGGAGTAGTTTTCCATTTCTTTTTGCAACTCATTTGACAGATAAGGAAACTCAGGCAAAGAGGGTGAAGTGACTTGTTCAGGGTCACACAGCTAATAAATGCCTGAGGCCAGATTTGAACTCAGGAAGATGAGTTTTCCTGACTCTAGGCTTGGCACTCTATCCACTGTCCCACCTAGCTGCCCCATTTAACATGGGTGATACCTAATGAATGGGGAGAACCCATGCTTAATGGATTAGGAATTTCTTGCCACCACATTCTAAAACATCTCTGAATTAAAAATCAAAACTTACTCAAAAAAAGAAAAGCAGCGTCTTTTTGGAAGGCAATCACAAGCTTCCCTCTCTGCAAAAAGAAAGTTGTTTTATTTAAGAGTATATTTTTGATGTTCATTTTTCCTCCAGCAAGACCCCTTGAGCTTTGTTTGTGAATTACCTTTAGGGGAAAGCTTAAATGTTGATTCCTGTCTCCTATCTCCTAGACTCTTAACAGCTAGCCCTCTTTTGGATCTGTAGATGGGAATGGGCAGAGAAGAAGAGGCAGTATTTGCTGTGACATTCAGAGAAAGGCTACAATCAGCCAAATATTTGCTCCGAAGTCTCTAAGATTCTTTTGATTAAATGAAGGGCTGATCTAGGAGTTAATCAATTAGATAGGGGCATTCATGGGCATACTAGAGCAGCAAGGACTAAGGGGGGCTTTATAGTGACCCCAGTAGGAATGAGAGGACATCATATTCTCTAATGTGTAATCAACTAATTTATCAGGAAAGAGGATTTTTTGGGGTAAATATAACCCCAAAGAGAATGGATACCAAACAACAGCATGGAGGCCTACTATGTGGTCTGTTACATATATGCCTATTGTTGAAGTTCATTATTTTAGTGATCTTTGGGGCTAGGTAAAGAGTAACATGATGTAGTTGAAAGAGTACTGGATTTGGGGTCAGAAGGCCAAGGTTAAATCATGACTATACCATTTCTAAGGTATATGACTTTGAGCAAGTGACTTAACCTCTCTGGGCCTCAGTTTTCTCATCTGTAAAATGATGGGTCTGATTGGATGACCTCCAAGTGCCCTTCTGGCCCTAAATCTATGATCCTATTATCCTTCTCCCTGACCTTGGCTTAAGTTCTGTTGAAATAAAGTGAACCAATAATTTTGCAGAAGAAGAGCAATCTCCTCTCCCTGTTGGAACTCTAACTGCTCTAAGCTTTAAAGAACCATGGGAAGTCTCTGGCTTTCTACTTAGGATGGACAAAACTATATTTAAAAAATACCATTTTGGGGGTAGATGGAATTTAGTGAATTCTAGCATTCTTTTTAGAAAGCAAAGGAAAAGGAGAATCTGCTAAGGGCTCTGAGGCTGGGGCTATTGAGCACTTTTGAAAAACTACGGGATTTCTTTATAAATTGTATTATACATCTATAAAAGTAGGAACCCTATGTGGTAGTTGCTGTCCTTTGTTCTTGAAGAGGACCAAAATGGCATCACCATGTTGAGGTCAAAGTATAGTGTGTCTGACTGTGGTTGATCAGACCAATCCGAGCTCAGAAGACTCTACCACAGGTCAGATACAAATAGTCCATATGCACATTTACCAGACAAGGGAATCAAAATAATCCACTCTAGATGAAGGAAAAGACAAACAAAAACCCACCACCACTCACCAAAGATAACACACAAAGGAAATAACTGAGAGTTGATAATGTCCACTTTGAATTTTCCATGGATTCATGAAGTTGAAATGTAGTACTATGAAAGAGAATTTAGAAGACAGTAGGAAGGTGGCCAGAGTGTATATGGATTCAAGGAGCCAGATAATAACGAGACAGATTTCCTCTGTGCCATCAGCACCAGGCTTATACACAAGGCATCCATTGTGTGTGCAAGGTTACTACCTTTAAAGTCAGATTACTGGATCCTATGTAACTGGGCTGTATAATGCCATCTGACCTTTGCCCCATTGCCCAAATAAGTTTGAATCTGCTGAGCAAAACTCAGGATTTTAGAAAATAATCATTCTAGAGCCAGAACTGAATCTGTTTCTCTGATTCAAAGGTTATATTTTCTAATGAAACAGTACAGTTAATCTGAATTATCTCCATGTGGATTATTGACTCAGGATATTGCCCTTGCTATTTTTTTTTCTTTTCATGACGTTTTCTAGTACTTTGACTAAAATTGAAAAAAACAAAACAAAACAACAACAAAACTGGACCCCTCCCTCCCTCCAGAAGCTTGGAAATTTGTAAATATTTAAGTTTAAATTACCTTTGGGGACAAGGAAGATGAGAAAAATGTGTTATTTTGGTCCTCACATTTAACCCAGAGACAGTATGGTGCAGTAGATATCTAGCTAATCTCAGTCAGAAAGACCTGAGTTCAGGTGCGGACATTGACAGGGATTGACTTTAACCAAATCAGTCTAACTTTCAGTGTCCACAGTAGCATTTTTTGGGGAAGCAATCGGGGCCAAGTGACTTGCTCAGGATCACACAACTAGTAAATGTCTGAGACCAGATTGAACTCAGGTTCTTCTGACTCCAGGGCCAGTGCTCTATCCATTGCACCACCCAGCTCTCCCCACAAGGAACTTTCTAACACTCTAAGTTACAAAGAAGTTGCTGATCTATATTGATAGAGGGGGTTTCCTCACTAGGAATTTTTTATACCAATGAAATCACAGGTCTCCAAAAAATTATACTTAGGTAATACTGGATAAAATGGGAAACCAAATTGTTTATCAAATAAAACCATTGATTATTTGCTAGTATGTGTGTCAGCTCATGCCAACTGGGGAAAAAATAGTTCTGCTTCTAGTAGATTTTTAAATTCTTGCCTCTCAGTTTCCTATCCTGGCCCCCTAGTCAGCAAGCTGTGTACTCTTTCCCCCTTATCCTTGTTTTTGTGTGGGTTCAAGAAATTCCACTTGTAGGTTATTTTAATATTAGTGTCTGTATGCTATTTTTAGAGAACTGAATCTGCTACCCCCATAATCATGTTATGAATGTCAAAGTCAAACATATAATTTTAGAATTGGTCACAATTTCCAATGATCATCCCCTCCTCTCCAAGAATTAGCTTTCCGAAAACTATTTTTACTGATATACACACATGCATGCTATCTATACACAGTGCTTTTAAGAGTTACAGAGCACTTTACATAGGTTATACCATTTGATTCTCATAACAGCCCTGTAATATAGGTAATACAAATATTATTATCCCCATTTTGTCCAAGCTCAGAGAAATGAATTAGCTTCTCTAAGCTCAGATAACTAATCAGAGGGGCTCCCAGAATTGTACTGGAAGAGGCCATGCAAACCTTCTAGTCCAATCCTCTCATTTTACAGATGAGGAAACTGAGGCCCAGTGAGATGGTGACTTTTCCAAGGTCACACAGGTAGGAAACATCAGAGTTGCAATTTAAACCACCTTTCTCTGACTCCTGAGCTGGTATTCTTTTCACAAGACCATTCTGCCCCATCATAGGCTCAGTAGCCTAAGGGAAGGTCAGACTAGATATCACTGTGGAGTGTGTATTTCTGTGTAAATCACCATTATTCCAAAGTAGTTTAAAACATAGTCATGG